AGGAGTCTGGCTCTGGGAGCTCTCTTCAGAGCGGTTCTCTTTGGCCGTCTTGTAACAAAGCCACTTACCTTACTAAGGAATTACAGTAAGTACATGAATAACTCTTCTGGAAAAAACAGGACTCTTCACTACAACATCCGTTACACACATGAATCTGTGGGATCAGGCCCTAAATTGTGCATGAGTAGAGATTATAACATCTCAATTTAAATTGTGCTCTGATACAATGATAATTTTCGATCACTGTTGGTTGATTACATTTCGTTTTACTCTATTGCATGTACTAGGAAAGAAAAATTTGAGGCTGGAAAAAATGCTATAATAAGGCTTTGTTATTAAGCCTGTGATTCATCTTCTGGATTAGAGGGAAATGCTGGTTTCAATACAGTGTATTACGTAAGGTAAAAAACTTTAAGTTTTCATAGTAACAATGTAAAAGTTTACATAGCTTGATTTTGATACATGTAGAGGTTCGTTGCATTTTCCTCACAAGGTGATGTAGTGTTTGTGGGAGGAACATTTCAGATAGTAGAATGTCCCTGTTCTTAATATTGAACATAAATTAGAAAACATGGTTATCTTCTATATGGTAGCCTGAACTAAAAAACCAAAAAAATTAAAATCTCGTAAATAAGTAATCGTGCCATAAGAATATGGATGACATTCTAAAGTTTTCTAGTCCTCACTATGTGACATACAAGTCTGTAATGTGATTAGGCTATTACAGGTGGAAATATTTCACTATATATGAAAGTTTTACATGCTATAGCACTATCAAATATCAAAAAAACCCAATTACCAGCTAAGAATTACCAGCTTGCTAATTACAAGGCAAAAACAATTCTTGGCATATAGGAAGCATTCCACAAACCCAGAGTATCCCATGGAGAAGAAACTTCTAGTTTCTGTTAAAACATTGTTGTGAATCAGTATAAAGCAGTTTCTTGATCATGGAGCAAATGTGCTAATTTTCCTCTTTGGAGTTAGGTGTCTTTCAAGGTTATTTGGGAAAGCCCACATCAATATGTACTTCCAG